AGAGTGTTCTGCCCTCTTTACCTGCCTAAAAAAAGTGCACACATTTCCCCACATACCAGAAAGAGAAGAGTGCTTCTTTATTTTTTACATTAAATCGCTGTATGATTACAGCACACCAAATGAATTTTTTCCATCATGAGTGCAGGTGAAGAGCTGACACTGAGACAAATCTGTATAAATAGATCTTACAGAAATAACGCTTCTCTTCCACTAGTTCCCCATATATTTCTCATTTATTTTCTCATAATTTGTTATTCCTTGAAATCCACATTCCTTGGCTTTGTTGAACTGGTATTTAAGTTCTTGAGTTTAGCCACTTGAGTTTAATTTCTTTTATGCAAATTTCAAAGAGGGTAAATATTAATAAAAATTATGTGCCTTCTCTCCTGTTAATTTGTCTTTTGCTGGTTTAATTCACTGCTCCCCAGTCATAAAACCAAGAGAGCAGAGTGAAAACTTCTGCAATGATATCTCTCTCTTTTTTCTTTTTAGAATTATTTTATTTAACTTTATTTATCCATAAAGAGAGAGAGAGATATGTAAGAAAGCTGTCAGGTCCAGGACTCGAACAGCGTTCAGCTATGTGGGAGTCCAATGCCCTTAATCACCACACCACCTGCCAGCCCCATGATATCCTCTTACAGCAAAGAGATCCTTCTATTTCAGGAGTACAGTTTCAGTTACACACCACCCTTCTCTTCCTCCAGTCCCCCAGCCCATTGGATCTTGGGCATGTCTGGCATGTTTCAGGCTAATGGGGCTGGGGATTTAAATTGCATTCGTCATCATGAGGGAGCCAGCTTCTCTTGAGCAGCACATTACTGCTATACTATGGAATCAGCCCCTAAAATTTACTTTAATATTTGTGATTTTTAAAAATAAAAAAAATTGCTAAAGCCTCATGAGAACAATTTTTTTTGAGAGGTTTTTGCTATAAGGCGCATGCACTTGCCAGAAAGACAAACAGAGACAGAGAGACAGAAAGTGAGAAACCACACCCCCAGGGGAGATGGCTACACCGCAATCCCTTCTCCTCCATTCTCCTCTTGGGATCTTGGGCATGCACGCACACGCACCCAGTTTGAGATTAAGCCACCAGGTCTAGGACTCAAACCATGGTCGAGTACATGGGAGTCCAGTGACATAGCCATTACACCAATTGCTGGTCCCAAGAACTTTTTGAAAAAAAAAAAAGACTGAACAGATTACAAATACTAAATCTACATTGTTCCCTGATCCCAGCTTCCCTTGGTCGTAGTCAGGGCTAACAAGTTAGTGGTGGCAGTGACACTTCTTTAATGCAATAGGCAAAAAGACAAAGCATGCAAGTACAAATGTGGGTAGACGGCAGATGTGCAGGTGCAAGAACAAGGGAGTTTCTTGTAATCAATCTTATTTTATCTGTAAAGTTCTAGATAAAGTCACCACCAAGAATGAGAGGGGAAAGAAGTTGATATAGAGTGTTTGAAGGATGGGAAGAGGTGGTAAGGTTATTTTGCAGAGTGGGAGGATGAATACAGGGAAGAGTGATAGGATTTCTAGGCAGTACTGAATGCCACTTGAGATTTGTGATCATGAATTTAATATGATATACATATATACATGTATGTTAAATTGCTCATATTTTTTATGTATGTTAAACTTTGATAGATATTGCCAACCCTTTTCTAAATGGTTACTAATTTACTCTCATACAAATTGTATAGGAGATTTTAGTGTCTCCACATTCTGGCCAACATTTGATATTCATAATCTTTTTTTTTGTCCACTCCTGTTTGTTCTAATGGTGCTTCTAATCTGCATTTAACTAAGGATAAAATATGAAAAGATTAAAAAGAGAAAAGAATAAGACCATTTGGTGGAATTTTAAAGTAAGACTAGTGTGTAATGTTTTTCAGTAGTATTCTCTTCTTCCAGCGCAGGAGCAAAGATGACTTTAGAGTTGGGGTTGTGTAGGCAAGGAAGAAAGAGAAAGGCAAGAAAGTTGCAGAAGAATTTATACAAATGGACTATGAAAATTCTGATGAAAAAGAATAAAGACGTTGGGTAGCGAACAAAGTAGCAGGTACAATGTCTCAGTGAGATTTAAATAAACATCTGGGTCAGCAGGTATTGTGGAAGCTAAGGTAGCTGGATCCCACATGGCCAACTCTGTAGTTTGAGTCCCAGATCCGGTGGCTTGAAATTCATGCCAGGCATGTGTGTGTACATGCCCAAAATCCCAAGAGGAGAATGGAGGAGAAGGGATTGAGGTGTGGCCTTCTCTCCTGCGGGGCGATTTTCCCCTTTCCATCTCTCTCTCTGGTGAGTGCACACGCCTTATGGCAAAACTAAAAAAAGAAAAGAAAAAATGTTTTAGCATGAGTACTAGGATAGGCTCAAAGAGTAGGAGACAGTAGACAAAGTGTGAGATGACTGTAGTGGATACCACTAGCTTCCACTAAAACACACTTTGTTTTTTTCCCTTAAGAGGTTAAGATGGTTGGGTGAGTGTGATCCCAGGGAGTTAAGTCTGATCTTCTCTTCTATGACATTCAGTTGTATGGAGGATCGAGGGTAAAGAGTTGAGAATGGCTCCTGTTATGATTTTGGGCACACATGCATATGTGCTCAGCGTGAGTTTTTAAGTCACTGGATTGGGCCTTGAACCATGGTCAACTACGTAGGAGTCCAGTGACATAACCATTATGCCATCTGCTGGTCCCCAAAGAGGTAACTCTTATGAGCTCCTGGATAGGAGCTGGTCACCAAAAAGACCAAGCTATGACTAGAAGCTTAAAACTGTCCTTAAAATGATCCTCCAGAAGTGGAGAGAGGCTAGAAATTGGGTAATTAATCATGCCCACATAACGAATCCTCCATAAAAATCCCTGAAGTTCAAGGATTTGAATAGCTTCCTGGTTGCTAAACACATCCATGTGCCAGGAGAGTGGGTGGCATACCCAACTGCATGAAGACAATAGCCCTTGTGCTGAGGACTCTCCCAGATCTCATCCAATGGGCCTCTTCTGGCTGTTCACTGGTATTCTTTGTAGCAGACTTTATAAGAAACTGATAAATGTAAGTAATTATTTCCCTGAGTTCTGTACATTGGTCTATCAAATCTTTGAAACTAGGGAGGGGGTTGTAGGAACCCCAATTTATAGCTTGTTGCTCAGATGTACAGATCATAACTTGGGACTTGGGACTGGCACCTGTGGCATTTGTGCTAACTCAGATAGTATCGGAATTTAGGTAAATCATAGAACACCCATTGCATGTCCACGGAGAACTGGAGAATTTCTTTGGCTGGAAAACTCGCACATTTGATATCAGAAGTTTTATGAATGAGGGCATAGAGAAAAACAGTTGTATTTTCCTATACAAATGCTATTATATACTACAGTAAGAGTGGGAAAATGTAAACATAATAAATGAAATAGTATGATACCTAGGAACCACAGTATTTATATGTGATCGAAATAATAGATGGATTAGAAATATGATGAACCACCTCTGGAAGGAAGTAACATATTAAAGGAAAACAGAACAAATAAAATGAAGAGAGTCACCCAAGTTGCTAGGAACACGACAAAAAGTCTTGGTGAAAAATTATCATTAGTAGAGTCATCCCTCAATATCTCTGGGGGATTGGTTCCAGAACTCCCATAGATATAAAAAAAATGTATGGATGCTCAAGTCCCTTATTACAAAATGGCATAGTATAGTAGTCCTCCGTATCCTTGAATGCAGACCCCATGGACAGAGGGCTGACTATATATCACAGTTGCAAGTAGACATGGAGGAATGATGAAGAGTAGATTCTTCTTTTTAGGAAACATTTTTCCTCCACTATGTTTAGGCATCCAGTTAACTATCACTGTTACAATATACAAAACACCATTACAAACATTAAATGAAGTCACCAACTTACCTTCCTCGCTCGTATCCAAAATGAAGGCGACCAATGCTACATCATTGGCACAGGGACATTTTGTCACTTTGAGATCTACCACATGTGGATGTAATGGCAAGATTTCGTTTTTTGTTATTACATCTCCAAGATCCCACTGAAGAATAGGTTCTGCGGAAGTCAAATTTAGGTGTTTAAATTGTAGTGGCATTCTGAAACATAGAACATTACTACTTTCCTTTAAAGGTTCTAAAGAAACTATATGAAGACACTATTATATAGTTCAAAAATGGGTGTATTACCTCACTCTTTATTGCTTAAAAATTGGTAGGTTCTTATATTCTAGAGGAAATGGAATGAAATCTAATTGCTTTTGATATAGGCCAGGCAAAGTCACATGTCAGAAACAGCATGAGAGACGGGAGTTACTGCTTTGGCTGTATTTGGAAAGAATCATTTGTCATAGGAACTATCCCTAGGCATGGAAATGCTGGATCACAGTGTATGCACATTCATAATTCAGAGAACAGCTTCAGCTTCAAGAGCTCACACATTTAGTTTTTGTGTTCTTCCTCAAATGCATGGAAACAGCAGCAGGTATAAAAAAATGAGAATAAGTCCAGAGTAGTAGTGGAAAACAGAAAAAGCTATCATTAATAGCCAGAAGATTTGGAAGGATTTCTGGAAAACAGAAGTTAGAAGTGAGTCTAAGAGGAAAAGCTGACCACAGGTGGGACACCTTCAACCCAGCACTGGCAGAATAGCAGTAAAAGTAGCATATGCAAAGTCTTTCACCTGGCAAGCAAAGTCTCCCAGGTCTAATGACTCTTTAATTCCTTAGCGTAGGGTTTTACTAAGCTCTAGCTTGTTGGTCTTTGAATATTTGTCCTTCTTTTTCAGGTCTTGATTTGGATACCCTTTTCTCCAGGAAGACTTCTGTGAGCCTCCAGGAAGAGACTATGAGAATATCTACACTTCACTGACTAGAACAAAGAAACTATACTCCTCCTTACTAGACTTGGGTGGACAGTGGTCCTTTTGAAAGAAAGCTTTTGAAAGTCAAACAGGGCTTTACAAATTTTAAAATGTATTATTTGTGGATATGCAAAGGGTTGCAGTTAAAGTCGAATTGTCATACATTAAAAAACCCGGAGGGGGGAACCAGCAGTTAGCGTAATGGCTATGTCGCTAGATTCCCACGTAGTTGACCGTGGTTCGTGTCCCGGACCCGGTGGCTTAAATCTCACGCCGGGCGCGTGTGCGTGCGTGCCCAAGATCCCGAGAGGAGACTGGAGGAGAAGGGATTGCGGCGTGACCATCCCCCCTGGGGGGGGATTTCTCGCTTTCTATCTCTCTGTCTCTCTCTGTCTGTCTGGCGAGCGCCCGCGCCCTACAGTGAAAATCTCTCAAAAAAAAAAAAAAACCCGGAGGGGGGAACCAGCAGTTAGCGTAATGGCTATGTCGCTAGATTCCCACGTAGTTGACCGTGGTTCGTGTCCCGGACCCGGTGGCTTAAATCTCACGCCGGGCGCGTGTGCGTGCGTGCCCAAGATCCCGAGAGGAGACTGGAGGAGAAGGGATTGCAGCATGGCCACCCCTCTGGGTGGTGGTGGGGGTGATTTCTCACTTTCCCTCTCACTGTCTCCCTCTCTCATGAGTGCACGTGCCCTATAGCAAAAACCCGTCAAACAAAACAAAACAAAACAAAAAACGGAAAAACATGCTGGGCATATGCACGTGCATACCCAAGATCCCCTGAGGAGAATACAGAAAGAATTGTGGGGTTGCTCCCCCACCCCCAAGGGGTAGTTTCTCACTTTCCCTCTGTTTCTCTCTCCAATGAGAGCACATGCCCTATGACAAAAACCTAATAAAAACAAAAACAAAAAAATCCTTAAGACATTAAAAATTCTGACAATTTTCTTTAACGTATAAAAATCACAAAACAGGAGGATTTTTTTTCCTCTTGAAAATTTTGAGAAAAGAGAGTATAAAAGATAGTAAAAGACTGGGACCAGCAGTTGGTGCAATGGCTATGTTGCTGGACTCCCATGTAGTTGACTGCAGTTCGAGTCCCGGACCTGGTGGCTTAAACTCACGCCGGGCACGTGTGCGTGCATGCCCAAGACCATGAGAGGAAAATAGAGGTGAAGGAATTGCAGTGTGGTCATGACCCCTGGGGAGTGATTTCTTGCTTTCTGTCTCTCTGTCTCTCTCTCTCTTTCTGGCAAGTGCATGCACCCTATAGCAAAAACCTCTCAAAAAAATAATGAAAGACAATTAGAAAGATATTGTTGTCAATTTCAAAGATAGACAAAGGACTTTTAAGATTAGACATATCTTATAATCAAGTCTTTATTTACATTCTACAATGTAAACCTCTATCTCCCAAGACTTTCAATAAAATCTGCTACAAGCCTGTTATTGGCCAACTAAGTTTGGCTACTGCTTCTTGTGGTCAATGAAACGAGAGGAAGAGGGACCAACAGATAGCATGTTGGTTATGTCCTACGCGGTCAACCACGGTTTGAGTCCTGGAAACAGTGCCTTGAAATCATGCAGGGCAAGTGTGCATGTGTGCCCAAGCTCCTAGGAGGAGAATGGAGGAGAAGGGATTGTGCTGTGACCATCCCAGAGGAAACCAGAGGAAGAGGCTGGAGAATGGAGTTTGTGTACCGTTTACAGGAGATCGAGAAGTACCATCAAATTGTCTAGAAAGGTGCAACCTGTTCTCAGTATTTGTAGTTGGGGACTTTAAGGTAAAACTGACCAAGAAAATATCTTCTTTAAAACACACATCTCAGACATGGACAGCTATGCACCAGGATCATGGATCAAGACTTCTCTGCCATCATAAAAACTTTGTTGTTTCTTTTTTTAATCTCAGTTCCTATTATCTTAATTCTTTCCTCTTCCCCACAGGAAATCCATTGGACCATAATCAGTGGTTAACTTTAATTTAAATTGATGCCCTAACACAAAGCCAGAGCAGTTGTTAAGTTTATGGACTAATGCAGAAAAGATTTCAGTAAGGTTCCTAGAGATTTACTTTTGACAGTAATGGGATACTGGCTGTATTTAACGCTTATCCATAAACTGGAGAAAATTTTCATTTTCTAGAAAACAAGACCTCCTGGGGTTTCTGGTGGGTAGACGCCACCCTCCCAAAAGTAAATAATGAACACACAAGTTTAACAAAATACTTAATAAAATACCATCCAGCATTAGATATCCTTTTTGTTCAAGTTAGGGGGTTATGTTTAAACAAAACTGAACGGTGTACCTACCTCTCTCCTAAGTTTAATGCCACAAAAATTTTAATTAAAGAAGCGGCTGATACTGCTACTTCCTGAGACTCAGCCACCAGCAGTATTAGGGAAGTCTCTCAAAAGTAAAGAACAAATAATGTGCTTACAGGTTACAGCTTACAGGCATCCTAAATGGTGGATGGCAGGCTTCTGTTTTTCAGTTTTTTTAATCTTTTTATTTCTCCTAATAGGCCTCTAGGTTGTTATGACTTGTATTACTAAACTAACAACAAAGATAAATCTCTTTTTTAATCAGGCCATTTTACAGAGAACTGTGGTCCTCAATTATTTCACTCCAGACAACTCGGCTCACATACTGTTGAACTGCCTATTGGCCTAAACCTTAATCTGTTTAAGTTCACTTCAGCTTGTTTCATAGAAACTTTTGTTAAGGGGTACTCTTTAGTCATCACATTAATCCTCCTGGTGTGCTCTATCCTCTCACGTCTTAAATGCTTTGTATGCAGCCATCCACCGAATGCTGAATGGTCTTGTTCCAGCCAGATCCGCAAAAGCACAAAGAAGAACCTGTTTGACCTGTATCCATCATGTTCGACCTGTGCGATATCATGACCTGCGAATTCCATGCTGGAGACCAAAAAAAAAAAAACTCTAATTTCTATGCTGAGAGCAAAAAAAAAGGAATAAAAAAGAAAAAAAAGAAAATGTCATTTATAATGGTGACAGAGAGTGGCACAAATGCCCTAAGTTTTGGTCACTCTCTCAAATATTTGAGAGGCTGATCAAACAGGGGGAAATTGTTAAATTAAACTATTTGACTTAAAACAGCTGCTGTATTCCCACACTTTGATTCCTAAGGATAAACTGAAAACGTACATATTAGGTTGTTTTTCTGAGCTGGTTGCTAGGTTGCAGTCATTCCCAGCAGCTAGGCTTCAGTTAATAACAGGGATTCTGTCTTTTAAATTATGTTAATGCAGGGACCAGCAGTTGGCGTAACGGCTATGTTGCTGGACTCCCATGTAGTCGACTGCAGTTCGCATCCCAGACCCCATGGTTTAAAACTCATGCCAGGTGCGTGTGCGTGCATGCCCAAGATCCCTAGAGGAGAATGGAGGAGAAGGGATTGTGGTGTGGCCATCCCCCCGGGGGTGATTTCTCACTTTCTCTCTGTCTCTGTCTGTCTGATGAGCACACGCGCCCTATAGCAAAAAAAAAAAAAAAAAAAAAAAACCTCTCCAAAAAAAATCATGTTAATGCAGACCAACTTCAAAATGTAACCAATGATTTCTCTACCTCGCTCCCTCACTAGCGCTTTTTGTACGACACTTTCCTGTCCCACGGACTTAAATGCCAAGCTGACCATGTGGCTGGCCAGAGTTGTCCAGAAGTCCAGGGACAACTGCTCAATTTAAATTGTGTTAAGATTCACTCTATTAAAACTCTATTAAATTTGCTGGTTGGGACCAGCAGTTAGCGTAATGGCTATGTCACTGGACTCCCACGTAGTCGACTGCAGTTCGCGTCCCAGACCCGGTGGCTTAAAAAACTCACGCCAGGCGCGTGTGCGTGCGTGCCCAAGATCCCGAGAGGAGAATGGAGGAGAAGGGATTGCAGCGTGACCATCCCCACTGGGGGGTGATTTCTCGCTTTCTGTCTCTACGTCTCTGTCTGTCTGGCGAGCGCACGTGCCCTATAGCAAAAACCTCTCCAAAATAATAATAATAATAATAATGATAGTAATTGGCTGCTTTATTTTTCTTTTAACAATATTCTGGGTGCATCTCAATATGTAAATGATTCAGAGTTCAGATTGTTTTTGAGTTGAAATAATTTTATAATAGTATGTTAATACTTTAAAAAGTAGCATAAGATATGGGACCAGTAGATGGAGTAATGATTATATAGCTGGACTCCCAGATGGTTGACGGCAGTTAAAGTCCTGAACCCAGAGGCTTGAAACTCATACCAGGAATGTGTGCATGCCCAAAATCCCAAGAAGAGAGTGGAGAAGGGATTGTGATATGGCCATTCCCCTGGAGGGTGATTTCTCTCTTTGTCTCTCTATATCACCAGTGGGCGCATGTGCCCTATAGCAAAAATCTCTAAAAAGAAGTAGCATAAGATATCAAAATATGAATCCCAAAGCTAGCATTATACTTACTGAATAAGTGTATTATATGAGTAATTGAGTAACTGTATTATTTACAATATTTTAGAAATAAATATTCTTTTAAGTTTTGAAAAATATTTAAAAAGAAAGCACAACATTTTGCCACTTTTGTCTCAGATTTTAAAATTTTGGTTAAAGAAATGAAACAATACACATATGATTTAGGATGCCCCTGCTCCCCTGCATGGTCCCATTCCCAAATTCTCCCCAAATGAATGAATTTACTGTGTATATTTCTAGTCGATATTTTCATATTTTTACTACAATGTATTATGTGTACATGAAGACTAGATACCATTACTTCGTGGTTTTCTGAATTTTAGATATTCTCCTACTGTATCCTGAAACTTGATATTCCATTCAATGTTTCTGAGTTCTCTTCTTGGTAACAGAAGACCTATTTCATTCATAGAATATGCGAACACGTGATTATCTTTCCCCCTACTTATGGACATTTAGGTCTCCAGATTTTAGAATTACTATCACAAATAATACCACATTAAATAAACTTGTAGATGTGTCTTTGGCACACCCATAGCTATGTCTCCCTTGGGCGGTTCTCAATCCTCACCATAAACCAGAACCACCTGGAAAGGTGCTCTCACACTATGTCTGTAGTGGTCTTATGGGTAGAGATCAGATTCGAATTGGCATTTGATAAAGTTGAGACATCCTAACTTTTCTCTAAAGGTCCCCAGGTGATTCTCTCTATAAAAATGTATATTTATTTAGGTTTTCTTTGCAACCCATAGAGCATCATATCAAAATGGAACTAAACCAATTAAAGCAAAAAGGACATGAAGATAAATACGAGAAGAACTAGGACTGAGAGTTTTTTAAAATTCCATACTCCAGTCTCCTCTTGGGATTTTGGGCACACATGCATACACACCTAGCATGATTTTCAAGCTGTCAAGTCTGGGACTCGAACCACACAGTCAGGCCTGTGTCATTCAGTTGCCTTAACCTCCACGCCACTTGCTGGTCCTGGTCATAGGTTTTAAATAACTAATTTTTAATAAAAATGACCCACAATTACTCTTACTAAGATTGGGCAAGAATTTTGCCTAGTCCTAATAAAAAAAGGCTGTGATGCAATGAGTAAGATATAGCCAAGAAGCTCCTAAGATATGAAACTTCATAAAGTCTCCATTAATAATGTCCTCCAAAATGGGTACAGGAAAAGATACATTTCCACAGTTTGGTGACACTCTTTGCAGACCTCTATTAACAATTACCCACAAACAGCAAGGCAATGATGGAGATAAAATGGAATCATAAAAAATAATTAACGTGAATGAAGACAGAAAAAGAGGAAAAAAATAAAACACAAATATTGACATGTTTGGTGAGACTCTCAAAGGTCATGAGCCTCTCTTATTTATCTTTATCTCTAGGACTCTGACACAAAGATTGCTGAAAGACAATATGAATTATATTTTACTTTTTTCTTCTGGCATTTACCTCGCACGGTATCCAGTAGGGTTCCTTCAGTAGCATAAATATTTAATCCATGATGTAAAGTGACCCTTACCAACCATTCTTCTACAGCTGCAATATCTATTTAAAGATAAAAGGCAGAGGTGACTATTTTTCCTATGTCACATTGGTGTAATCTAAGGGTATATGAACATTAGCAACGATAATCTTTCCTGTTTTGACCATTCTTACTGCATTATATGTCAGGTTTCCCAAATTTTTTCTAAGAATTTTTTTTCTGGAGCTGTTGTTGCTTAGTAAAAGACAAGTATTATTCAAAAGTAGACCATGACTAATTAAAATGTATAGTGTAAACCTAGGGTGAACCCTAAAAATAAATTTAAGGTATAAATAATGTCTTACTCCACTTGGTGCTGTTATAACAGAACACCTGAGACTGGGTAATTTAAAGAATAATTTTTTTTTTAATTTACTTATTTTTTCAGAGAGATTTTTGTTATAGGGTATGTGCAGTGGTCAGAGAGACAGAAAACGAGACCCTCCCCGCCCCCAGGGGGGATGTCCATGCGACAATCCCCTCTCCTCCATTCTCCTTTTGTGATTTTGGGCATGCATGCACACACACCCAGCTGAGTTTTAAGCCTCCAGGTTTGGGACCAAACTGTGATTGGCCATGTGGGAGTCCAGCAATGTGACCATTATGCCATCTGCTGGTCCTAGAGATGTTTTGTTTTTTTTAACATATCTGGAGGATGTGCTCATCAACCAATTCACACCTTTGTCTGATGGTGACACTATCCCTGCTCATTCCAAACACATAGGAAGTATTAATGTCACCAACAATGCGGCTGATACAGTGGAAGATATATGTGGAACAGTCAAGAGGCTGTGTGAACACTATTAGCTGGTAGTTCCAGAGTGTTAGTTGAGTTTAATGTGAAAACTCCACACAAACTTATTCAGGTAGATCATGTGTCTTCACATCTGTTTTATGTGCTTTTCAAGAATTTGGTGAGGAAAATAGTAACACTACTTGAAGATAGAAAACAGCTCTATTTGTTAAATGCTTGTTACTTTAGGTTAAAAAAAAAATTATCCGTTAAGACAAGTGACCAAGGTAAATGGTGTCTCATTTGAAAACTGTATGTATTTTCAACTACATGTATTCATCTTCTCCTAGACATAGTCTGGAGCCTGTAAGGTCTCACCTTTTGACTAGATTTGATTAGAGTTCAAATTTTTATTATTAGTATTATTTAAACTGTGTGGTAGATATTTTCAAGGAATTCTAAAACTATTTGAAAGAATGGGTGCTGATGCTGTCATTTATTTAAAGTCCCTTTCAAGTGAATCATTTGAGAGACTGCTAGTTTTATGTTTAATTTGCTCTTTATGAATTTATTTCTTCCATGAGAAAGAGGAAGGAGAGACAGAGCAGCGAACAGGGTGTCTATAGCACGATCCGCTCACAGACCAACCCCAGGTCACAGGCATGCCCGGTGTGGTCAAGGAGATGCCAGGATATGAAGTGAGGACCTTTTGCATGTGCATTCCTAATGCATCATTGCCTGGTCTTGACTTGCAGTTTTTAATAAGTCTGAGTGACACCCTTATAAAACCACACCTGAGGCTGATGGTTGGAGCAATCCTAGCAGTGACACCACAGTAATTCCGATGCTTCCATGTGTATTTCTCCATGCCAGTTGAATGTTTTCAATCCTATGAATGTTCTGGCTCTTCCATTAAACTAGTAGCTTGAGTAATTTTTCTTCACACCTTGCTGCAGTGTGGTTAGTAACTGACATAGAAGAGCACAGGGCCCCCCTAAAACTGTTGTATCCTTTTACTCTCCACCAAATTATTATTGAATTGAGTGGCTGCATCTCCATTGGATTCTGAAGTTCTTCCCCATTCCAGACACAGCATATACTCATTGCCACCAAATATCTTGCTTGCCTCAAACCACTGATTAGGGCTAAGCTAACTGGAAGTTAAAAACATCAGTTGAGTTCATCTTGTTAGTTCAGTCCTCTGTCCCTCCTTCCTCATACATATCCATCCTCTACTTAGACTTTTGGTTTCCTCCATCTGATTATATTCTTTTTTTTTATTTTTTTTTTTTCTCTTTTTTTGAGAGGTTTTTGCTATAGGGTGCGTGCGCTTGCCAGACAGACAGAGAGAGACATAGAGACAGAAAGCGAGAAATCACCCCCCAGAGGGGATGGTCACGCCGCAATCCCTTCTCCTCCATTCTCCTCTCGGGATCTTGGGCCCGCATGCACACGTGCCCAGCGTGAGTTTTAAGCCACTGGGTCTGGGACGCGAACCGTGATCGATTACGTGGGAGTCCAGCAACATAGCCATTACGCTAACTGCTGGTTCCCTTCATCTGATTATATTCTGATCATGAAGTATAGGCACTTTTGTCTTAGATTTTACTCACTTATACATTGGCTTTATTTTAACATTCATTTATGCTTTTCTATTCTACTGATGAAAGTGTTCCAGAAGTTGTCTTGGAAAGAAAAGTAAAAGGATAATATATATATATATGGCATGCAAACACCAATCTAAATAAAATGTAGTGGGTATATCAATATCTGCCAAAGGAAATTTCAGATCGACACAATATCAGGAATAAAGAGAGGCAATAGATATGATAAAGATATAAATTTACCAAAAAAGACATGACAACCTATATGTATACGCTTAACAATAGAGCTTATAATCAACCAAAAGTCAATTCAAATACGTGAAGAACATTTCCTGACTAGGCCATAAAACATATCTTAACAAATTAAAGAGAATGTTTGTCATATAAAGTATGTTCTTTGAACATAATGGAATTAAGCTAGAAAATTCCATAACAGAAAGAGATTTGGAAAAATCCCCCAATATTTGGATGTTTTATAACATACTTCTAATAACCATATGTTAAAGAAAAAGAATATGGGGAATCAAATGTTTTAAATTGAAAGAAAGTAAAAATTCAACATATCAAAATGTATGGGATACAGGGGCCCAGCAGGTGGTGTGGTGGTTGGGGAGCTGGATACTCCCACATGGCTAACCACGGTTCAAGTCCCTGGTGGCTTGCTTTCTTACTTTATCTCTCTCTCTATGTCTAGTCAAATGAAAATGAATGAATGAATAAATAAAATTAAAATAAATAATCCTTTAAAAATGTATGGGATACAGATAAAGCAGTGCTTAGGGAGCAATAATTAGCAATAAAATATATTTTTAAAAAGGAAGTTCTGAAATGATCTGAGGCAGGGGTTGACAGATGGTAGATGCATTGCAAAATATCAGATGGTAAATATTTTGGACCATAGGGGTCACATAATCGCTGCTACAGCATTTTAACTATGCTATGGTAGTTAAAAAGCAGCCATGAACACATAAGTACATAAATATGATTGAGTTCCAATAAAATGTTATTTACAAATACCAGCAGCAAGCAAGATTGGACCAGCAAATGGTAGCTTGATGATCCCACATCTATGTAAGTTTCCCAACTTAAGAAACTAGAAAAAAAGAAGTAAATTAAACAAATGGAAGGATAAGATGAAGAGTAGAAATCAATGAAACAAGGCATAGGAAAACAATATACACAATCAATAAAATGAATAAAAAAACATTTTCTTGAAAGGGTCAATAAAATTGATGAACTTCAATCAAAAACAATAAAGATACAAATAACTCAAGGCAGAGATTAGGCAGAGATAGCACTTACATACCCTATAGATATTTTAAGGCTAATAAGGGAATATCACAAATGGCTCTATGTCCATAAATTCAACAATTTAGATAAAATGGACAAGTTCCTTGATAGACACAAAATGCCAAAGCTCAATACTCAGACAGAATATTCAAACAGAATACTCAAATATTCCTGTATCTATTAAGCACATTGATTTTATAGTTAAAATTATTTCACAAGGAAAACTCCAGATCCCAGTATCTTCACTGATGAATCCCATAAAACATTTAATGAAAAGATGACACCAATTCTACAAAAACTATTCAAGAATATAGACGAGGGAAGGCCTGGATGGTAGCAGAACCATAAAATAAAACACTCTGTGAGGAGACCCATATGGGAAGGTTCTAAGTTCCCACTGGAGACTTCCCTGAGTATACCAAGTATACACATGATCAGGGGCTGGCTGAGGATGGGGGTAAATCATAGTATCAAGAACATGTTAGGGGTTTCTCTATCTTTCTTGCTCATGTAAGAAATAAAGAAGAAATAAAGAAGTCAACTTTAAAAATGAATATAGCAGAGGGAAAAATAATTTCAACTCATTTTATAATTATAATTGTATCAAGATAGAAAAATGAAATAAAGACAATACAATAAAATAAAACTCTAGACTGACAACTTTAAGCACTTACGAGCCAAATTAATCCAGCAATATATAAAAAGTATATTTCATGATCAAATTTGTTTATCTTAGGATTGCAAGGCTGGTTAAAAATTTAATAATAAATCAATGTAATTCACCAGTATCAACAGACTAAAGAAGAAAATTCTGATAATCATCTCAATAAATGCAGAATAAGCATTAACAGAATTTAACATCAATTCATGACAAAAATTCAGCAAACTAGGAATAAAGGGAACGTTTTCCACTTAATGAAAGGCATCTTCAAAAGCCTAAAGATGAGCCCCCCCTGGCTCCCACCCCTGCTGCGCAGCCGCACACCTGGAGCGGCTCTGGCCCCCCCACTCCCCCCAGCAATAACTCTTCTGGAAGACAACTGTATATAGCAGAGATAGTGTAATGGGAGAGTGGGAAAGGGCAGAGGGACAAACATAGGGGAAAAAAAAAGAGGAAGAGAAAAAAAAAATATATATACATAAGCAAGAAAGTAGAAATGGAATATTATTGATGATAACATGCTTGATTAAGTCACTATGCAGACTATTCTAGATGGGAAATTACATTTAGTACGCTGTGATGATGCTCAGGGAATGTTAGGTAACAACAAA